CACCTGATTTTCTCAGGCACCTGGACAACTATAAACATGCTTTTAATGGTATTATAACACTTGAACAAAGTTCTACAAAAGGGAGTCAGGGATTTTTCTTTAGAGACTTATTGTTGATTTTATCTATAAAAACGTGAAATTACGTCAAAATATTAAGGAATTTTCGCTTTCAAAGTCAATAAATTGGAAAAGAGAGGATCAACCAAAATTTCTTAAAAAGCACTTTTAGTGCATACTTTTCTTAATTAGCATGGTTAATTTGGTCTCCCTCAGGTGTACAGGTAGACAGCTATAGCTCGCTCCGATAACGCTATATCGTCAATCTTGAAAGCGGAGAAAACGCGCAAAAACCCTTTTGGGGAGGTTAATTTTCCAAAATAGCAAAGTAAATTGTTGACAGCTTTACCTGTTATCGTTCTGACGATCGCAAAGATGGGTACTCTATTGCCGGATGAAATTAGCTTGTTTGCACGCATTTGGATGTCAGAAAATCTTATTTTTGTATCATTCTCACCTCCTGTTAGTAACTTCAAGGAGTTAGGGCCCCTTTACACTGGACGGCGTCCTTTCTGCGTCCCTTTTGCGTTCAAAAATGTGGTCAGGACGCTCAACGGTTGCCAAAGCAATTAAATTGTGTCTCAGTTACACTGAGTCCGTTAAGGCGTCTGCGTCCCTTGTGCGTCCTTTGAACGACCGAATCTTGATTTTAACTGTAAAACTGCGAGCAACCTGCCTGCCTCCACTGTACGTCCCCTGTGCAACCCAAGGCGTCCATTGCGATGTTTGAGCGGCCATTGAGCATTCTTGCTGCGTTCTCTGTACCTTCATCGGCGATCAGTGGCGTCTATTCTACGATCATTCTGCATCCTGCTTGACCGATGAGCGTTGTTTGGGCGTCCTTCTCTATATTCTAACTGCTATTTTTCATCTGTTCTAACCAGGTCATCCAATAAAGAACATTTCCAGCACACAAAACAAATAAATGGGAATAAACGCTTTAAACTATAGTGATGCAAGGTCTGCACGGACTGATGATCAGCCAGATGCTCATTGTTATCCTTATAAGAAGGATGGACAGGCGCCGAAAACGAGAAAGTATGACTGACACAACATAGAATGTTTGAATCCGTTTTCAAATGACGCATTCTGCAAAAAGTTCTGACAATTAATGCATCTTGTAAAAAAGGCAAAATATTCGTTTTATAATAACCTCAAAAAAATGGATCGCTTCATGAATTTTAGGGGAAAAAACAATCGGAGGCTGATATGAGACCACTGTTGTCCTTAGAATTCCTGTCTGGTGAAAAATACCTCAGCACGGCCCCGTTTGAGAGTGAAAAAAATAATGTTCTACGTGCCGAACACTGGACGATCTTTGAGTTTTCATTCTGCAACACAATAGCAGAATCCTGAAATTTGTCAATTCCTGGTGATTCATGGGATTCGTGGTCTGTCTGAAATAGAGACATTACAGGACGCCGATCGGACCATCAACAACAAGAAATAGATGCAACCAGAAAGGTTTTGTTAGAGGAAATGTCCAAAGTTGGGTGAGTCAGGAAAAGTTCAAGGAGAACTCGTATTTCAAGCAAATCCAATGTGTCGGAAAAGATTCTCCTTAGCGCTGATCACAATCAAGAGCGACTATCAAAACAGCTTAAGCGGAACAATAGGCAATGCTTTGCCGATCGCTGTTTATGAAAAAGGGGGTATGGTGCATCCCTGTTCTTTTGTTTCTGGAGTCGTGCTGATGCTGCTAAGGTCCGCCCACCGAGTTTACCCATGCCAACGGCCCTTGCATAGACCAGGCCACCGGTGCCGATGTGTGCAGCATCAAAATCCTCAGAAAAAAAAAACATATTTTTTGTTCAAAATGTAAAATCTTATTCTGTTAAAGGTACATACGAACCGAGCATCGGTGGAGCGAGGATTCCCAGTAAGTCAGTAACACATGTAAACCACTTCTACTAGTTTCTTATACGACTCTAATAAATTCGACATGCCAAGGGATAAACTGAATAAATCACCCGATCAGCCATAAAAGAGCTTTAGAGTGCTCCTTTCTTTAAATTTTTGGTTGTCAATTTAACCTACTTCCGTGACCTACTTTTCTGCCCCATTGACATACAGCATAGAATGCTAGCAGAAAAATCTGTTCAAACATCACTTTCGGGTAAAATTAAACAATGCCTTTTGGTAATTCTGTTTGTTATACTACTTGAAACTATATGCTGGCATTTGATTGGTTTTTATGACAAAAAATTGAATTTGTATGTATCTTTAAACGTTAGATACACATTTAACCAATAGTTAGACATGAAAAACCCAAAATGACGATTTTTAGCCATATTTGGGTACATTGCCCCCTTAAATTCACTGAGTGGCTTTGTTTAGTAAAGAGGCAGGTTGCTTTCGAAAATCAGCATGATCGGTTTAGATTTACGGTAATTATAATTTTTTTATTTTTATTTGCACAATTTTGGTGACGTTTACCTCATATTTATGTGACAAACGGTAATTCTGTTTTGCTTTTTATGCCGAGTGGCTTTGTTTAGTAAAAAGGCAGGTTGTTTCTGAAAATCTGCATAATCGGATTTTACAATATTTTTGTATAATTTTGGCAGTTTATGTTTGCCCCCATAAGTACCAAACCAAAGTTTTGTTTCAAATTAAATTTACTGCGTGGCTTTGTTTGGTAAAGAGACGAGTTGCTATCTACATAGTCTTAGGTGCTAGGAATCCTTTTATTTAAATTATTTGTTTAATGATGTAAAATAAGGAAAATCTTTTCTAAAGAACTAAATATGTTTTTCTACCTAGGAGGCATGGCCTTGTCGCATGAAATACATGTACTAATAAGATAATGATTTATTAAACCAATAAAATAAGCAAAATATATAATATCGAGAATCTTTTGCCTTGTAAAAGCAGTTATGTTATCAATTCCTGCAACCTTCTGCATGAGTGTCGTTCCTGATGTTGATATGAGATGATTAACATTATTTGCATGGAAACGTTGACTATACAAATTACAGTATGACAGGGTCGTACAAGTGTACAAGTTTCGGATTTTTCGGCAAAACTTTATTTTACAATATAATAAAATCAAGTAAATAAATAAATTTAAAAAATAGCCGCCATGAGGTTATAAAATACGAGGGAGTGGCATGAGAATGATTTTGTTACGCTTGCCAAATTTGCTGTCGTACAAATAAGTGGTTACGCACTGAAAATTATTCCTAAAAATTGTACCTTTTAGTTCATCATATCTTTCAAATGCATGTTTCGAAGCACTAATCAAAGAATTGTTTAAGGATAGTGTCACCCTTCGCTCAAAACTCCTTATTTACTGCCTTACATACATTCTTTTGGGTAATAGATAAATCTTCGGTGTTCAGTGACTAAATTGATAAACATTTACACATGTCATCTTACGGGTGACGCCATGATTACGATTTTGGAGCAAAAACTGAAAACTCGGTTTCTCAAATTTCTCCTTTACCTGAGCCGATTTAATAACACCATTTAGTACTCCAAAAGCCTGCCAGCAATTTTTCTTACCTGTCTTAGGTAATATTTTGCCGTTTATAAGGCAAAATAATGCCTTTGTGTAATGAAAATCTGTAATTAGGCTAATTCCATAACAAAAACATTTAAACCAAAATGACGGCACTGGATTGTAGCCCATACACTCATGGTCAACTCTGCTAATTTTCCGGTTAAAATTTTGTTCAGGGATGAAGTTACGCCCCATATACCGATTGCTATCTCACCTCAAAATAGAAAACTGTTAAAATGATGATTAAAGCTACATTGCGACGAGAAATATAAACGCCGATATTTTATATTTTCGAGGGTTTTTTATTGTTTGAAATCAGCGCAAAGATAGATGCATTACTGAAAAGTTAAATGCAGGAAAAACCTCATACTCGACTAAGAGGTATCAGTTTTTCACTGGTACCATGTTTGGGGGAGAATAAGCGATTGTTGTCTATATATTTGCCAGCTTTGCTTCCTAGTTGTGAATGGGTAGGCCCTATGTGGTACACACAGGCACCACTCGTTGTGACTGCATACGAAGTACACTTTCTTAATGCTTTATATTACACATATATCATAATGTTTCAGCTGCTGTTGAGGACGAAATCCAGGCTGCAGTTCGTGCTTTCAGGTCCGTTTTTGATGAAGAGATCAGCAAGCGTGATTTGGACGAAGAGAAGAGAGCGTAAGTATTTTTCTGATTTTTTGACATATTTTTGGACATTACTCGAATTTGGTGGTGTGCATGGCAAGGGCTGGATCAAGAGAGATAATTGAGGATTTTCGCCGTATAATCTATTCTTAATTAACTATTTCTGTACATAATGAAATAGTTGTGTCATGAATATTAAAGGCTTTAAGTGTTTTATCACTTTAAAACATTTTGCTTTGCAGCGTCCTTTGTGCTGTTCAGACCGAGTTTGGAAAGGCTTTGGAATCTGCTCTCCAGACAACTGTTAACCAAATAAACGACGCCGTTAAAGACGGAAAGCAGGTATCACAGTGTTTGCCATGACACGCTGTGGGATTTAGTTTTTAAGACAACTAAACGCATTTATATGCGATTTTTGCATCTTAATACTTTCGACTTATCATCAACATATTCTCTTTTTGACTTTCGGTTATCGAGGAATAGTTTTCGTTAACGTTTTACATATTTTGTTGTTTTAAGAGCTAAGGTATCTTAGTTGTTTTTATAAGCATTTAAATTTATACGTCGACAGAAAAAAAGTGGATTAACCGCATTTTGCTGCGACTTATAAAACATTGTGTTCTCCCTTTTTGACTGTTGATTATAAATCTATTATTTTTCATATTTCTAAATTTCTGTTTGCAGAACAGCTTATAAAACGTGACAATTAGTCTATAGCAAGTAAAAAATAAATAAGGAACAACACATAGTTTTAAGAAATGATCGCATAGATCGCCTAACATCGATCTTTCTTCAGGTAACTGACGACATGCTGCAGAAGGTCGCTAACTACACCGAACTGTTGAAGGAACAATGCAGAGGAGCTTACAAGGACGCCAAGATCATCCTTAGCAAACTCACAGCTGCCGCCAAGATTGCCATTGAAAGTACTCTTCAACAATTACAGGCCATTAGAGAGAACATCTATAAATCTATGTTTGACAACTTTTTCAAGGGAATTTTCGGTATGTTTTGGTCTTTGGACTTACTACAATGTATTTACATGATTAGTATATCTTCTACTTTTATCTTTATTTTTTTTTTTTAATTCCAAAAATTACAATTTACTTTAGACTTTTTTACATGGGGGATGTTTTAACAATTGCACAATTGTTTTGAAACTAATTTTAAAAGACGTATGCAAAAATAAATAAATAAAAGAACAGGGAAGATTAATATTTGCCCCTATTACATCTTTTGTGATCAATGGTAGTCCCATCTACAGCGGATTTTAGAAAAAGATGCGCGCCTCTTCTCTTGGTTTGAAAATGTCTTTAGACTAGAAATGCATTAATTACCCTTGCCCACCCCACCAGCAACGATGAAATAATTTTTACCATAAAATGGAAAACGGGCAACAAAGCAACCATAACATGTCAACAACTGCAATTTTCCCCATTTTTCATTTTTTTTTTTTAATTTCAATATTCACATTTTCAGGAAAGCGGGCGACTAGAGACCTCTGGGATAAATTTGTGGACAGCTTGCAGTCAGTATTTGCGAAGTTCAAGGGTAAATTCGATGACCTTGCTGACTTCGTCAAGGAAAAATATGGGGCTGGAGTGGAGGAAGCCAGAGGACACTTGGAGAACATCAAACTGATGACAAAGACCGTAAGTAAACTTTGTAATTGTTTGAATTATTTTGAAAATGCATGCTTAGGTCTAGGACCCAACATAACAGAAGTGTTATGTTTGGGCCTTGCTTAGGTCTCAATTTTCGTAACAGACGAATATTCAAAACAGTAAGAAAAAAGGATTTTCTGTATTTACCCTCACGTAGGTAATATGTCACATTAAGCACAGACTTTTTTATTTGTCATCATATTTAATTTCACCACACTGCAGTCATGCCAGAATATAGTGTCCCAGAGCCACCCCACACCATTCCCCACTTGACAATGCTAATTCCCTAAGTATAATATATTCTGCTTTCTAATGTAGCGACTATTTCGTTATATTACATTTATACTCCTGTGGTTTATTACTAGGTTCTTGACAATGCTCAAGAAGCTGGAGAAGCCAAGTTGAAGGAGCTGAAGGAGGTGGTTGAACCCTACAAGTCTGATCTGGGCGATTTGTGGACCCAGCTGAATACTGCTATTAAGAAGATAGGATAATAAGTAAAAACCAACAAGGGCATTCCTGAATTTTAGCTGTTTTTTAACATCTTGATGAGCATTATGCATTTAACATTGACAGGATACAGGTTGGCATGAAATAAAACAGGATTCAACTTGATTTTTCTTTTTAAGTTTAGTTTCATGTTCAATACAGTTATGGGCTTATGGCACCTATACTTGTCATGAACAATAATTCCTATCAGTACTATTGCAGAGGCTGCATTACTACCATAATAATTAATGAAATGAAAAGCAGTTACAAATTCCTTAAAAGATGAATAAAAATGCCAACTTTGCTGCACATTTACCAGTTTAAAATAATTGAATAGGAATATGTTAAACCATCTACATGTAGCAGGAAGCATTATTCAATATGAATGCTAGAATACAGATTGCACATTGGAGTATCTATACCTTGCTTCAACTTGCAATAATATATAATAATATATGTTTAACGTGAAGGAGAAAATAAAAAATGAAGTATATTAAAATGGAAACAGTTTTTGCCCAAGTCTGAAAATGACCCAACATCATTTCTGTATGCTGCAAAGCTTCTGATATTTCCCATCCAGACCTTAAAGATGACAAAATTTCTTAAATAAAAGTTAATCTGAAGTGTACCTAATATCACTGTTACATTCTCAGCCAAGGTGGTGGCCATGTCATTTTGCAACTTCAAGAAAATTGTCTTTAGTATAATTGTACAAATACAAGGCCACATTACAAAACACATTGTTATGAAGTTATGAAGTAAAAAAGCCATGGCCAGTAAGTGTAGGGTCGATGTCAGAGCAGAAAATGTTAATCTGAATGACTGGACTGGCCAGTCAACTTTAACTTAATTATAAAATTAAAATGGAATAAAACATCCAATCCAAGTACAGGGAAGGGTCGAGCAATGATATGTGAGGAGAAAAAACTTCCCCTGAAGAATATTTGTTTTGGCAGGCAAAATTTGTATAGATTACCTATATCTTTATCGAACAGTACAAACAGCAAGAAAGAAGCAAAATGAACAATGCACACAGCATATGTGATGTACAAATTTGATTCAACTATGTAAAAACCCTTCTTTTCTTTCATATGAATCAGTACACCACTATTTAATATGCATGATCTCTATAATCTTGTCCTTGATATTGTAATTACACATTTTAAAGTTCAACTTTTGCTCAATTACCCCAAAACCAAAGAAAATTTCTTTTCTTTCCTTTAAAAGCAGGAATTATTAGTTTTAGCTATTCCAAAATTGAATGAAGCTTTTTTCTGAGCTGTCACAAGCATCACAGTTGCTGATTCATGCATGTGTATCACTCTTCTAGGCTGCCATATGCCTTTTTCAGAAGAGCTTTACGGCATCTAGGACCCTGCTAGTATACTCTCTCAAAGCCATCATGTGTATCACTCTTCTAGGCTGCCATGGCCTCTTCTAGAAAAGCTTTACAACATCTCAACACCTGCTGATATACTCTCTCAAAGCCATCTTCCCCTCCCTAGAGAACACAAAAAATTGACTCATCTAAATGAAAGACTGATACCTAATTCAGAACACACATGCACACAAACAATACACAACTAAAACAACTCTGGTGTTCTTACTTTTCAACAAACTAATAAAAACTATAACATGAAACAAAAATATGAAATGTTGGACAGAATCTTTATGTTCAAGGTGTGCACAAATTTCATTTGAATGCACAAAACTTTTGAGAATATATCATTGCAGAAAAATTTAATGACACTTTAACTAACCATTTTAATAATTGTATAACTCTATAAATATGAAAACACTGACTCACATAGTATGGGTCCACTATAATCAGCTGTTTTTCTGGGTCATATTCCCCTAAAAGTTTCACTGTTGCTGTGCTGTCCTTGGGCATTTTTTTCTTTATTTCTCTGCAAACATAAATTTCATTTTAAAAAGGAACAGAGGGAGTAACATGCAATTATGTATTTTTTTTCAATGAAAAAAGATGTTAATTTCGATTTTAAACTAAGCTGGATGAAAAGTTGCAAGTTTTATCAATAATGCTATAATTCTGAGAATAAAAGAATAAAATTAAATATATATTTATGAATAAATAAAAGAATTCCCATGGGTGCAACAAACTTTATATTATTTTCGTCCATTCCTAGGATGTATTGGAATTTGCTGAAGTCTGCATTCTCCAGCTGAAAAAACAAACTCCAATTTTAATAGTAATAGTATGTAATATTAAATAAAAAATTAATGGTTTTTCTTGTGGACAAAAAGCAAAATTATATTTTGCTTTAATTCCATTTTATACTTTTCACTAAATATTTTTCCTCCTCGTCAGTTGGTTATTTAAAAGGAACAATTTGACGTAAAAGGCCATACTTTTACAACTAAAAGAGTTATATTTGTCCTGTCTTCCAAAATAATGCATGCCAAATAAAAGTTGCATAACATCATGAATTCTGTTTAAAAAAAAAAAAGATATTTGAATAAACTAAATGACCGCAAGTAATTTTCTTTTATACCTGTCTACCACGATGGTGAGTCTCAAGTTTGTGTTGTTTTAAACACTCTCTTGCTCTCTTGTCTGGTTTCTCACCAATATGCCAATGTCCAATACCACAGCTGTCTATTAGCCACTAGAAGATTTTTAAAATAATTACCTGTGTAACAGTAATTATGTTACTATTTAACTGAACTTAGAATTGTTTTGCAATTATCACTTTACATGTATCATACCATATCTTTTATCACAACTTATATTTGATTTTTTATACATTTTTGCATTTTATGCATTTTTGCTGGCACATTCTGAAATGTTCTATTTCTAGCTTTTTTTCTGTTTAAAAAATGAAGTTAACTTGCATGGTAAAAAAATGAAAAAGACAAACTAGCCTAAAGGCCTTATCTTTTTTTAAATAAATATTTTAAAATATTATAATTAATCTAATAAACTTTGCAGAAGACTAACAAATAGAGGTTTAAGAGGATGGTATGATATAAATTTCATGATGATTGCAATTCAATTGAATCCAATACCTCATGCATGTTAGAATAATAAGCCTGTTAGAATAGAAGACTAACCTGCCTGGCTATGTGGTTAGAAGACTTGCCATAACGATGTAAGCAATCTATACCTCTGGAATCAGGAGAACTCCCAATATTCCAGTCAGATGTCCCAGCACTGTCCACCACCCACTGAAGTGAACAATACATGTTCTGGTACAAAGCAAGGCAGGCTCAGTCATTTGCTCACACATCAATAGATAATGTTGCTTGTTGCATTTGAATTGAGAGCATGTATAGCAGTTTTTTTCAAGCACATACACAATACTTAGTCAATAGCAAAAAAAATTAATTAATCATTAATAATAATAATAATAATAATAATAATAATAAATAAATAAATAAAATTTAAAAATAAAGCATCCATGAGGTGATTGTAGTTAAACTCACAGCCTTAAAACCAAAGGAGGAAGTGCAACATTGTGTATTGTGTATGCTAAAAAATCTGAAAAACGCACATTTCTACATAATTGAGCAAAAATTGCTATTGTTGTACAAAGAAGAGAGTTCATCTATATCATAAATACCAAAGAAGGTAGAAGAAAAATGTCAGACTGGTCTATAACCAACTGTACAAGCTGCCACAACATGAAATACAAGCTAACAGTTAATTTTCAACCAAAAAGACATTTATCTACTGGTAGATAAAACAAATTTGAATGAAAAACAAACATATGCTTGTACATGCCCTAAACTGCATGCACACACACAGGAATACATATACACACTTGTCGCACAAAATATGTAGGTACAAATACACTTAATAGCATAAAACTGATCTCCCTACCCATGCAGTCAACCACCAACTGTTTGCATTCTTTGCCCTCAAATTTTTTATACTTCATAGGTTTGGCAACAGTAAAAAAATATTTTGAAATTTTAAGCATAATGACCGTTTATTGTGGAATCTCCTAGCTGACCTCTTATATTTTTCTCTGAATTTTGTTTAGAACTATATATAAACAGATGAGTACACTGTATGCAATCACTTAGGAGTACAGGTATTGTTTGTCTTAAACAACGGGTACTAGTATATTGCAACAAGAATGATGGGTGTCTAAAATTATTGCACAATGATTTAATTCGAGACACAATGACTGACAGTTGGGCTATTAGCAAGGCTCCAGAATCTTTACTAACAAATTGCACATAGGGTTTTTACATTTATTCATGTCCTAAACACACACATATATATAATAGTATATCATATTTTTTTAAATAAAGATATGGGGATATTTATGCCACAGGTCAAAATAGCACTGTTTCAAGATTAGAAAATAATCAGAATGCAAGCAGTTCAAATAAAAATTAGCTGCCAAGTGAAGAAAAAGCATTGCTGAATGTATTTCTCAGTTTGTAGTTTACTGGATTGGTGGCTGTTAGGTACCATAAAACTGAGAATGCCATGAATTTTTAAACAAAATTCCATAAACGGTACAGGGGTATATACATTCCCTCTGAAACCAAAGTTGAAACCAACAGCATTATCCATTTTCAAAAATGCAAAAAAAAAAAACTAAATAAATAAAATAAAAATAAATAAATAAATAATAATAATAATAATAATAATAATAATAATAATAATAAATAAATAAATAAATAAATAAAATAATAAAAATAATAAACAAAAAGTGTCATCATATCTATGTGGCAAATTTGTTCATAGATTTGCTTCTGTAAAACAAAAGATAAAATCATATTATGTATATTTCTTCGGTGTACAAGCATGTTATCTGCATATATATCTATGTTTATCAATTTGATTTTGTTTGTACATAGCAATTAAAATAAAATGATGGTTCAAGTTACTGATGTCTAACATTAGTTATAGGTGATAGCTGAACCCGGCCTTGAAGTGGAAGGGAGGCAGGCAGCTTTCTTTTGATCAGGAACATGTACAAGTACTCAGTGGTTCTACTATGTATAGAAACCTTTTTCAGTCTATATTAATTCTAAAACTTTTTTTTTTCAAAAAGGGACCTTTTTTCAAGAAATTTTCTTATTCTTACTACCCTAAAGTGTCTTAAGTTATTACATGTGGAAAGTGTTTTCAATGTTGAAAGTGTTTTCACTGAGTAAATTGTCCTAGCTTACTAATTTGAATATAAGAGATACTGTTCAAAGTCACCACGTAGCTGAATAAGGAAGACATTGAAAACCAAAGACCTTTAAGTTTGAGGGACATACGGGTACAATTTAAGTGTAAACAAATCGTAAGACCAAACGCCCCCCCCCGCCCCCAAAAAAAAAAAAAAAAAAAATGACGCTTGAATCGACTTTGGTTCACTAACCTGGTCTTCCAATCCTTTGAACATTACTTCGTCTCGGAAAACAGCTTCAGCTATTGGAGATCTACAGATATTCCCTAAATTACAAAAACAGATAATTACACACCGCTAACCAGTAAATGACGGGTAAACGCTGAACCGTACGGTCAACACAGATTTTAGGTAATGCGTAGGAAAACTAAAACTTTTAGAGCGAGATCTTGAACAAATAGTATTCTGATAGAGGTATCAAGTGTTTGATAAACGGTCGCGATGACTGTCATATCTTTTACATTAGAATAAACGTGTATACGACATTAAAATGCGAAAACACTCACCCAAGCAGACAAACAGCACTGACTTCTGCGGACCTGCCATCTTCTAATTTCTAAATAGCACGAAAACAAACGAACAAGATATAGAATAAAAGTATGGTGCACCAGTGCACATATACAGATATAAAATATATAAATAAATCAATGAGTAAAATTATGTATGGAAACGTAAAAAGTTGGCATGAACGTCAATTTTAATTACGTTGAATTTTACAGGTATTGTTTTTATACGCGCTTTTGCAAGGAGTGCCTTGTTACGCTATATTTCGTCGCTAACTAAATTAATCCCAAATTCCAATATAAGTTCTAGAAAATATTAAGATATAAAATCTCTTTCCAACTACCTAAAGTATTATATTATATATTTTGGACTAACACAGAGAATATAAAGACGCTTGAACCGTATTCTGATTTAATATTATCATGTGATATTATTCCGCGTCTACTTAATGCGACATCTTTGCTGTGACTGTTGTTGTGTTTAGGATTGTACACTCTCCTCTTTAATCTCTCTACTACAGCCATAAATTGTGCCGATGTAGGGCTACGCTGTTAAGCTGTATGGTCTTTTGGTGAGTTATGTATGGTTTATAAATGCGTTTTGGTTTTGTAGAATTTATGTACTATGAACCAGTTTAAATGATCCACAAGTAACTTTGTCAAGTTCTGGATGCCAATTATTATTACACAGTCCAGACACCAGTTGCTTTTGGATGTTTTCTGTTATTAGTCAGTGACTGACAGGAATATTCAATAATGTCTTACTACCTCATTAATGTTAAACGTCATTTGTTCTTGGTTTGACGTATGTAAAACACTAAATTTGTGCGTAAGTAATATTTTCTGTATACTTGTTTTAAAATTTTTAAAATTCAGTTTTCAATGATGTTCAGATTATATATATATATATATATATATATATATATATATGATGGTTTAACATTTTCTCAGCAATAACCTCAACCCTTATCATGGACTCTACAGCCGGTAGATGTTATGTTGTGTTTTTAGCTTTAATATTTTGCCCCTACATACTTTACTGGGAACTTATGGAAGTTGTTTTTGAAGTGCATTTACTCGAGGGAAGAGTGTCAGGCACTTCTAACTATATGGCCTACTGATTACTCAGATTAATAGAGCTTGAAAGGTAGTCTTTAAAGACAATACATACATATAAAAAAAGGCTGAACTAAGTATTTAGTTTCTGTTAGTCTATGTTTATATGTGGTTTCTTATTATGCATTGTATTTTCATATAAACTTGTCAGTCCAGAGGTCCTGCAATATGAAGCTAGGGCAATTTCCCCATGTTTAGCTAAGATGTTTTTTTCTATCAAGACACAAAATCTATTTGTTATTTGCCTTGGATCATTGGCATACTTTACAGACAGATTATCAGAAAAAGAATTCTAAATTGTTCTCCCACAACAAGGTTTTTTACTAAGCCAGTCTTTGTACAGTCTAAGAAGACTATTTAGCAAGTTTTAAATTAATTTGGTTACAATCATCTATCTAGATTTATAAACATAATTTAATTTTTGTTTTTTCAGTGGCCATATTGTAGTGCCTGTTTTTCTAAGCGATGGAAGCTTGTGAAATAACATTTCCTAAAATCAAAGGGATTAAGGCTATATTCCCAGAGCTTTTAGATTGATCTATCCCCGCGGGAAGTCTCACTCGATTGCTGTCAGATAATCCGGCTTAAATGTCCGTTCCGCCTACTACAAGCTGTAAGGGGGTAATTAACTTTCGTGGCCGCCCGGCTGACAGCTATTTTGCGTGAACCCCCAGGGAGTTAGGTCGATCTAAAGTAGATCGATCTAATCTCTGGAAATGGGGTCTATGGCTTCATTCACATGCAATGTCTATTTTCTAAATTCTATTTTCTATTGGCGCTATCTAATGATCACGGTCTGTGCCCTGAATATCCCGCCGCGTAATTACTGGCAGCACGAGCCAGTTACTTATAGTAACTTAGTTCAGGCTTGACATGGGTAGTTGTCAGATGTGTTCTTGCCACAGGGCAGTTTAATTCAATGTGATGTTATGCAAAGTGTATATACACACAACACGTACTTTTACACTTTTCCAGACTTGACAAGCTCTTGATCATGTCATCATCACGTAATGTTCACCACTCCCACCTTAAGCCTTCCCAAGGCGGGAAGGCCATACTGGACCTGGATGACTTACAGGCCATGACTGACCATAAGGCTAAGACCGTCCTCAAGGAGGCAGTGGACGCAGTGGTCAACAGCTTCGCTAAGCACACACATGGCTATGGCAGAGGTAAGTTCAGATTAGAATCTTTTTTTCTTGCTATTTTCCCAGTATTTTTGTTCATAATTTAAGTATACATATTTGTCAGCATGTTCACTTAAAGAATGACTGATGCCTTCTTTTTTGAAAGATGTGATATCAAATGGTTGATTGAATCAAATGTTTAACACCTGTATTTGATGAATTTTAGAAAAAAATTATAATGATTTAAGTGCAAATTCTTGGTTAAAAGTGGCTTCTGTGTTATTGACAAGTTTAGGCCAGTGCAGTTTAAGTTGTGAAGCCATGACAGAAAAGGGTGCTTGAAAGAAATCAAATATTTGTTTCTGTTAGTGCTGTTGCTTGCCAGCATGTGGATAAATGTTAAAGGTCACTTTACTTTGCCAGTGTGCTTAATGATTTGAACCAATCATGCTGTTGGCATACCATTTCAACAATATGTTACAAAAAGTGCAGCATTTTAAACAGTACAAAGCTCAAACAATTTTAAAAACAATTTTTTTTTTTGCCTCTTCAGCACTGAGTACGTGTTTGAAGACACATCACTAAAATGCCCTCTTGTTCAAGTGACATGGAACTGACATAAATTTACTCAAGTCCATAGTAACCATCTCTTCTCTAAAGCTTTATGGGACATTTTGGGAGAATTTATGGGATGTTGATGAAAGTTGGAATTTCAAACAAAAATGCATGTGGTAACTTAATTCCTCTTCCAGTTAAAAGAACTATTCTTCATTTAAATGGCAAACAAAGAGTGCAGTTCCTCTGCTTTTGCTATCTTGTTGAAGTAACTTGTTCACCCGAAGAGGCATTTTAGAAGATAATGGTATCTGCTTTTATAGGCATTGTGTGCAAACATGCTAAAGTGCAAGTGTTCTTGAGTGATAACCATATTTGCCACCCTGGTGTCAATCCGTAACAAAATAGTGTGTTTTAAGGATTTTAGTGTCTTATATTTCTTCCGCAGTTTTAATTAATTAAAATATTGGTTCTATGCAATAAGTTACATATTAAAAAAAAAATTCTTAAAACTTTTTAAAAGAGTTTAATTGATTTTTGGTAATAACATTATAAATGAAGACAACTTTATTTAAACAACCCAGTCACCTTTAGGTAAAATTTGCTTTCCTTAATGTGAAAACTGTTCAGGTTTTTAGATCAGAGATTTGTCCAATTTCAAAAATCTTGGTTATCATATTATCAGTTTAAAATGAAAATAAATAAATAAATGGTAGGTTGGATTAATACCTCCTTGTGTATCTTTTCAGTGAATGTAGTAGAAGCTCTGCAGGAGTTCTGGCAGATGAAGCAGGCCAGAGGAGCAGATCTGAAGAATGGGGCACTGGTGGTGTATGAATCTCAACCCTCTGCATCACAGCCATACATATGTTTTGTTACATTACCTGGTGGGAGCTGTTTTGGGAGTTTTCAGGTAGGACCAAGATATTTTTTTCGAAAAAAAGGCAAGACAAATAAAAATTATACTAGGATTTCTGTAAAGAGAGTGTGCAGGATTTCTATAAACACTTAGAGGGAGTAGAAAATGAATTTGTACTGAAACTGTCAAAAATGTGTCACATTGTGTGCCATTGGAACATTAGCCTCACTGATGCCAGCTTTTGCTAGCTATATAATATTTTAAGAAAGTTTAATTTTCCATTTGAGTCATGACTTTTGTGTCTTCATTTCTAGAACTGTCCTACTAAAGCTGAGGCTAGAAGGAGTGCAGCAAAGATTGCTTTGATGAATTCAGTATTCAATGAACATCCCTCTAGGAGAATTACAGATGACTTTGTTGAAAAGGCCATTGGGGAAGCCATGGCATCCTTTAAAGTGAGTTAAACCAGATATAATGGTATTGTGATAAAATGGTTGTACAATCCCTTACAGAGCAAAATATATGAGTTATACCTGTTGAGATGGTCTCAGTTTCAGCTGTGTGCGTCATATAGCTGTAGGTCATCATCTGTGTGGTGGCGCTCTTTGCTCCTAAAGGTATCATACAACCATTTTATTACCTTATAATGGAGCACAGAAATATTTATTGTTTTACATATTGAAATGATGCATAGGCATGCAATATAAGTGCGTGATATGCATATTTATCTTATTTGTTTTGGACTAGAATAGGGAAACTGCTGTAAATATTTTCCATAATCTTTTTGAAATATAAATCCATCAAAACTGGGAGGCTCTGATACAACATAAGTAATTATGTTCAGAACTACTAGGCTTTATGTCTCCAGTCCAATTTAGAACACAATTTTCTTCTAGGTTTTTTAGGTGAGTGATTCTCCATGACCCAAGTTATACCTATTTCTATAAGAAAAGCTTCAGAATTCCATTATTAATGAAAGGAGTGGGTCAGTGCCTGACATACAGTTGTGTTCATATAAATAATATGTGAAAACTTCTCATACTTCTGACTTATCAGTTATTTTTATTATTTTTTTAATTGATTATTTATAATTTAATGAGTAGGGCAAGATGGATGAAGCAGACAACCCTGCTACAGGAATAGGTGCCTTTAGATTCATGCTAGAATCCAATAGAGGGCGTACCATGCTGGAGTTTCAAGAACTGATGACTGTATTCCAACTGCTGCACTGGAATGGCAGCCTANGAAAGCCATGAGGGACAGAAATTGTTCCCGTCAAGAAGTTCTGGCTCATTACTCCCATAGGGCTCTTGATGATGATATGCGCTCACAGATGGCACTGGATTGGATCTCTCGAGAACAAGAGGAGCCTGGAATCATTTCTCACCAGCTGGAGTTGGCAGAAAGGGAGCTGGAGAGTGCTAGATTAGCTGGAAGGGAACTCAGGTTCCCCAAAGAGAAAAGAGACATCTTGTTGCTGGCTCTGAGTCAGATTGGGCCACAAGAAAGCATTGCTTAAGTCCATTTGAGGAAAACACCATTTACTGTTAAAAGGGATCATGATTCATAGGCTTTGCCTTGAAATACCAGATAAATTTTTAGAGGTGGGGATTTGATATTTATCCTCCATATTACAAGTGTTAAATTTAAATTATGGCTTTTTCCTTTTATTTGATTTTAAAACAATACATTTCTCCAGGAAATCCCAAAATAAGTTACGGTGCCAAATTTAAATGGTCTTCTTTGTCAAAATACACCTGCTTTAATATTTTTAAGAATACGCAATACTCTTTATCCAATTATTTCCCTGGTTTTCTTTTATTCATTTATCTGTCTTACTAGTCTGCTCTATATTTTACTTTTCATATCTCAGTGGAAGATAAAGGCAATGCTTATATACAGGGTGACAAGTTTGATTTATCATTTTGTATAATATATTGTACCTGTGTAAGATGGCACAAACCCAACATTTTATTTGCATGTGGTAAGCTTTACTTTCACTGACAATGGATGCGCATTTGAGAGATTATATTTGTATCTTATTATATTTTTAGTCTTTAATTTGAAGCTTGAAATGTATCACATTCATCATGTGAAGAGGAAAACAGTATCATTGCTTTTATGATGATTGATATTTTCTCTCTCTCTGTGTGTATGCAGTTATGGCATAAAGATATGCTTTATAAAAAATACTTAACTTTAAATATCCAGATGTGGTTTTAATGAAGAGCTCTCAGATAACGGCATTCTACTACAAGTGTTAGATTATACTATATTATGGTAAATTTTCTTTCAAGCTACATCTGAATATGGATATATTTAAATCATTCTTTACATTAGTTTTGTTCACATTACTGAACAGTTCGTTTATAAGTATGAGTAAAGTGTCAATATCCTGTTTGTATGATAATATTAATATATCCATATATATCTGCTTGAATACATTTAATGCTTGAGGATGCCTTATTGCAAAGAATGATACAATTTTGTTTGGGTAGGTGGAAGATAAAATTACACATTGTAAAATGGAAAATTTTTCCACGTTTAGAATATATTTTAATGTCAAATGATTGTTAATGATCATTTATGCATATGATTTAAGATATTTTAAAGTTGTTCTTCAAAAATAATTTGAGTTTAAGGGCAAATTTTTTTTTCTGATGTTGGATGTACATACTAGAAAAATAAAAACATTTATCACAATATATCGTATATAAAAGTTGTAGAAAGCCTATAAGAACATTTCAATTATCATGCTCATTCATATATTTTACGTCTTCATCTTATTTATAGCCTTCTAGATTACAACTCTATTTACTATGAAAGATAAAAGAATAAATATATTATTGAAAAATTGCTCAGTGTTGTGCATTCTTCACATCTAGACTTTTTTTTTTTTTTTTTGGGGGGGGGGGGGGGGTTCAAAAAAAAATTTTTTTTNATATGATTTAAGATATTTTAAAGTTGTTCTTCAAAAATAATTTGAGTTTAAGGGCAAATTTTTTTTTCTGATGTTGGATGTACATACTAGAAAAATAAAAACATTTATCACAATATATCGTATATAAAAGTTGTAGAAAGCCTATAAGAACATTTCAATTATCATGCTCATTCATATATTTTACGTCTTCATCTTATTTATAGCCTTCTAGATTACAACTCTATTTACTATGAAAGATAAAAGAATAAATATATTATTGAAAAATTGCTCAGTGTTGTGCATTCTTCACATCTAGACTTTTTTTTTTTTTTTTTGGGGGGGGGGGGGGGGTTCAAATAACAATTCATCGTGTCACATGCCAAAGTATTTTCTCAGGTCGAGAATTGGTAGAAACTAGAACCTGGTATGAAGGCACCGCCCATTATATTTTTTGTAATACCAGAGTTTTTGCTATTATGTAGATAATTCATTACGACTCTGGGCTATCACAATTCTGCGAATTTCATTTATTATGCAAAATGACCCTTACTTTTTGACGACTTACTTTACGACGTAGATCTAATGATTTATTGTCAAAGATGTGAAACTCACTTGAGGCAATTAAGATCTTTCCGTGCTGTTGCGAAGAGCAAAGTGTGTTAGTTGTGTAATGTATACACAGGAAAATGTTACCAGTTGTGATTCTTGTTCCATCTACCATATTATTAAGTTTTATGTATATTCAAACAGTTATCTTAACCTGTCTCATTCATACAAGCAAATAGCCCCCCATTCTGTAAAGTACTGAATTTTGCCTCCAATCTTTACTGTATCAAGATTTTCGCTTTACCTCAGCCAAGTATTTCAAAGAACCAATCGGAATCATTGCTCTTGAACAGCACGGAATGCATATACTTCCGCTTCACGTTTCCCCTCCTCAGGTTCGGACTGTCATAAAAATAGCTTCTTTTTCTTCTAGCGAAAAGGTGTTTGGTGATTTATGGACCACAGGAGTAAGAAAAGAGTATGTGAAGCCAAAGAAAAAGCTCGACCTGGTAAGATACCGATAATAAAACTGAAAGATGCCTTGTGGGATATACGTGCATTGCGGCACGGTACCATGTACCTGTATATGAACTACTACTGCTAGTAGTACTTTGTTTATTTCAGTACTTGTTACGTTAGTGTTACTAATACCAAGGAGTTATAACAGTTATAACTCCTTGCTAATACTTACTTTGAGCCTTTCGGTTTTCTTATAACGTTAATATATCGTAACAAGTTCGCAGTGGTGTGTCAGTAAATATGGTTCTCTGCAGTTTTTGTGTATTAATGTTAGAATATACGATACAACATAGAAAATCTTCACTCTGACATGGTCTTGTTCAGGCATCTTTTATTATGAAATCTTTTATTATGTAGGAAACATTGACTTAATAACATAATGTCAGAAATAGCAGAAAAGGTCCCAAAAGTAAAACTTTTCATAATGACCAACAAGTGATTTGTAACAAGTTTGATTAAAGTTCAGTATTCTAATTCATTGTGAGAGAGATCATGTGTTAGCAACTTTCTTGTAAATAAGTTACTAGCTGTGCTGTATTTTTCCAAATGTTGTTACAGAAATCATACTATAACCATGTTAAGTCTTGCTTGATGACTGGCCTGTAATTGATATATTCTCATTTCTATGGCATGTAAATGGCATTAGATAGGCTTCATTTAGAATGTCACGTGTGAAAAACTGATGTTATTTATAATTTGTATTGATATACACAACATGAATAATCAAGCTGTCGGATCATTCTGGCAGAGTGACCTCAGTCAGTTTTACTGATGTCTGATCTTTATTATTATTNTATTTTCTCAGGTCGAGAATTGGTAGAAACTAGAACCTGGTATGAAGGCACCGCCCATTATATTTTTTGTAATACCAGAGTTTTTGCTATTATGTAGATAATTCATTACGACTCTGGGCTATCACAATTCTGCGAATTTCATTTATTATGCAAAATGACCCTTACTTTTTGACGACTTACTTTACGACGTAGATCTAATGATTTATTGTCAAAGATGTGAAACTCACTTGAGGCAATTAAGATCTTTCCGTGCTGTTGCGAAGAGCAAAGTGTGTTAGTTGTGTAATGTATACACAGGAAAATGTTACCAGTTGTGATTCTTGTTCCATCTACCATATTATTAAGTTTTATGTATATTCAAACAGTTATCTTAACCTGTCTCATTCATACAAGCAAATAGCCCCCCATTCTGTAAAGTACTGAATTTTGCCTCCAATCTTTACTGTATCAAGATTTTCGCTTTACCTCAGCCAAGTATTTCAAAGAACCAATCGGAATCATTGCTCTTGAACAGCACGGAATGCATATACTTCCGCTTCACGTTTCCCCTCCTCAGGTTCGGACTGTCATAAAAATAGCTTCTTTTTCTTCTAGCGAAAAGGTGTTTGGTGATTTATGGACCACAGGAGTAAGAAAAGAGTATGTGAAGCCAAAGAAAAAGCTCGACCTGGTAAGATACCGATAATAAAACTGAAAGATGCCTTGTGGGATATACGTGCATTGCGGCACGGTACCTGTATATGAACTTCTACTGCTAGTAGTACTTTGTTTATTTTAGTACTTGTTACGTTAGTGTTACTAATACTTACTTTGAGCCTTTCGGTTTTCTTATAACGTTAATATATCGTAACAAGTTCGCAGTGGTGTGTCAGTAAATATAGTTCTCTGCAGTTCTTGTGTATTAATGTTAGAATATACGATACAACATAGAAAATCTTCACTCTGACATGGTCTTGTTCAGGCAGTGAGATTGAAATCTTTTATTATGTAGGAAACATTGACTTAATAACATAATGTCAGAAATAGCAGAAAAGGTCCCAAAAGTAAAACTTTTTATAATGACCAACAAGTGATTTGTAACAAGTTTGATTAAAGTTCAGTATTCTAATTCATTGTGAGAGAGATCACGTGTTAGCAACTTTCTTGTAAATAAGTTACTAGCTGTGCTGTATTTTCCAAATTTTGTTACACAAATCATACTATAACCATGTTAAGTCTTGCTTGATGACTGGCCTGTAATTGATGTATTCTCATTTCTATGGCATGTAAATGGCATTAGATAGGCTTCATTTAGAATGTCACGTGTGAAAAACTGATGTTATTTATAATTTGTATTGATATACACAACATGAATAATCAAGCTGTCGGATCATTCTGGCAGAGTGACCTCAGTCAGTTTTACTGATGTCTGATCTTTATTATTATTATTATTATTATTTATTTTTTTTTTTTTTTATTCTTGCATTTTTCTTTTTTTTTTTGGGGGGGGGGGGGATATGTGTATAAGTCGATAAGTATACATATATATGTAGAGCATGGAATTTTAGATACCAAAAATCGCCTCATCTTCCCATTCATTTTGATAGTTAAATATTCCAGGAATTTTGAACAATCACTATCCTGGGAAATGTACAAGTGCATCCATTGTCATTTTGAAAGATCAGAAAGGCAATTAGATTTCTCTCTCTGCTAAATTTATGGATATATACTAACAAAAATCTGTTTAGTGTTCAATTAGTTAATAAGGTAACTTTACTTTTTCAGAACTTAGTAAACCAGGAGCCTGGGAAGAGCTTAACTATTATCAGACATTTAATTTGGATCCAGACCCTGTGGCATTGAGAGACACTTTTGATAGGATTGATGGGCAGAAAATTTCTTTACAGGAGTTTAGGGAGAAATATGAAATTCCCTACAAACCTGTTGTTATTACTCACTTGACTGATGGCTGGAAAGCAACTGCAAAGTGGACTTATGAGGTAGAGAAAACAATTTTTTATAATATTTAATAGGTGATTAAGGCAGTGATATAAAAATACAGGTTTCGCTGAGGTTTGCATCATTTTTTATTTTTTATAGACAGAAATGTTGTCAAAAATGAAAGGAAAAAAGACTGATTTTGTGTACTGGTAGTTGTTCCATTCATTTGTTTATTTATTGAAAAAACTTAACAGTTTAGAAAATGTTTAGGAAAATTTATGTCAGCATATTGAAATAGAAAACAGCTTTTGAAGCATAATGTCTTTTTTTCAGTGACCAATTTCCAGAAAATATTGAATAGATTAATTTTATGAAGATGACGTATGGAATCTGTATAATCTTCTGCTTGACAAAAGAAAAAAATTGACCCACTTTGTTATAATTCCAAATCATATGCTGCTTACATACAAAAGCCACATCATTTGTATTGAATAATTGATGAAAGATAGAGAGTCAATTACTATGGCCATGTTTAATCAATTGATTCATTTATTACATGTAAGGTGTCTTTTGTTATAATTTCAATAAGAGTAGCCCCCAGCTGAGTTCTATTTTTTTTTCTTTCTTTATACTTGAGGCCAAATTTGTTTTAGTTCTCAGGGCAAATATGTTTCTTTAAAACCATAGTTGTGTCAGTTATTTTATTCTCATAATTCTCATTTATTAATTTAGAATCATTTTGGAATCAGCCCATATGTCTTTGCTGCTAACTGATTTTCAGTTTACTTTATATTGTATATGCTATTGGTTATTTTAAGTTCTTTTAGTATAACAATTGAAATCTTTTTTAATCACAAATAATGTATTGTGGGCAATTTTTTTTAATTATTTTTTAAAATTAATTGTAGTACAATGTCAGTTTGTGCAATGTCATGACAAAATGTATGCACTGCTCAATTTATAACATGGGTGTAAAAGATGATTCAGTGAAATCTAATTCAAAATGTTTCTCATTGTAATTTTTAAAAGCATTCAAGAGAAACAATCAATCATTATCACAATTTTGTACCTTCAAGGATCACACAAACATGTTTTCATAATGATTTGCAGAGACTTGCAAAGAAGTACAGAAACCAAAAGTTTAAGTGTGGCGAGGATGATGAAGGTTACTCTGTCAAGATGAAGATGAAGTACTTTGTGGCTTATACCAAATGTAACAGAGATGACAGCCCACTCTATATATTTGACAGTAGCTTTGCAGAGGTTAGTAGAGCACAGAGCATTCCATATTGCATATGATAATAAATCAAAATTTAGCAATATTAAAAATCAAATTCACACTTTTGAAGTAATTATTACCCAGGCATTAAGCTTATTAAATGATCTTAAAATGTACATTCATTTGACAGATTTAATTCATTCCTACGCCCTTGTCATTCAAAAATAAGGCTGTCATCGTTTTTTTTTTTTTTTTTTTTTTTTTTTTTTTTTTTTTTTTTTAATGCATTTTCTGTTTTTTAGCATCCCAAAAGGAAAAAGTTGCTTGAAGATTATGAAGTGCCAAAGTATTTTACTGAAGATTTGTTTAAATATTCAGGGGAATCAAAGAGGCCACCCTATAGGTAAGTTTTTGTTCAGAATCAGATACACATAGTTTAAGCATCTTATTTAATATGATTATTATGTATTTTGTTTTTTGGGTAAAAAATGGAATTTTTCACAGGTATAGTTGAATTGTTTGCATGTATGTTGACAAATATAAAAATGCATGAATTTTCATTTAGTCTGCATTTTAAAGAAAACGGTGCAGATCAAGACATTCATTTATTATATGGTTGCTCTGAAATTTTGATATGTCATGTGATAAATAAAATAGAGTCTTTTCCACGGTCACGTGACTTCCGNCGCATGCTCACGATTTCATGGAAAAGACTCTATTTAAGTCCTTCATTTGAATGGCTGCATTAAAAAGATTGGGAATATTATTAACAAAACGATGTGTAAATCAGAAATTCAATTATGTCCAGAATACAAGTGTTTCATGTTTGTACGTTGTCTAGGTGGTTTGTGATGGGTGGGGCCAGGTCAGGGACAGGGATTCACATAGACCCTCTGGGGACCAGTGCTTGGAACACCTTACTGCAGGGACATAAAAGGTAGTGGATTTGCTGACTGAAAATTAGGAAATGACCAGCAGTCCTACCTTTTAGATAGCTAATGATTTATGATTATGTCTCTTCAGTGCTAAATTGTTTATAGCAGAACTATATCTGATGGACACTAGTTATCTGTTGAATTTTTAATAAATGTATTTTTGATAAATCTCCAGTTAAACGTTTTCGGTGATTTGGATTTAAGAAAAGTAACAATGTTACTAGAGAGAAATAACATTTTAATTATGAGTAATGTGATATGTTCCAAAGAGTTAATTGCCATGTAAAATTAAAAACTAAAAAAATGCAATTATTAAATAATAAATTATTGAGACTCAATTAATAGATATTACTTAAAATCATGTTCTTACATTGGAGAATTCTTTATAAATCTCACCTAACACAATGGCTGTGTTTATTTATAAATCTCACCTAACACAATGGCTTGTTTATTTAGGTGGTGCCTATTTCCCACCACCACTCCTAAAGAACTTATAAAGTTAAAGAGCGGGGAAGGTGGAAGACAAAAAGAGGAAGCTGTGACTTGGTTTAAATTTGTCTATCCACGCACACAGCAGCCAGATTGGCCCGAAGAATATAAAGCAGTAAATATGAGAAGTTTTATGGCCTTTTGATATTATGATCATTTTTTAAAGCAATATCAAAATTTCAAAATGTGCTGGAAATGTTAGGCAAAACCATAATTTAATTCTGTTAGCAGAAAATAAGTGCAAAATGTCAATTGTGTGAAATTGTGTGCTTCATCAAAAGTTAAGCCTAAGGAATAACACATTGGTAATTCAGTAAGAAACAACAATAATTTTGTAGAAATACTATTGTTATCTGTTGTTTGAATGCTTCTTAAAAATAACCATTAAATTCCAGTTGGAGATTCTCCAAAAACCAGGGGAGACTGTTTTTATTCCTGGTGGGTGGTGGCACGTGGTGCTAAACCTTGACAACACGATAGCAGTGACACAGAATTACTGCAGCAGTGTCAACTTTCCTGTGGTCTGGCATAAAACTGTGAGAGGAAGGCCAAAGCTTTCTAAAAAGTGGTACAGGGAGTTAAAGGTAATGGAAGTGGTAACTGAGCAGTGGAAAGCACACTCAAACAATTAAAATATCACAAATCTGATTAAATGCATATAATTTCCATGTCAGAGATATGTATGTGTGGTTTTTACAGCTTAAAATCCTGAAGATAGCAAAATAGAGAGGCTTGTGATATTAAGAATATAAGTTATAACTTCCAATCCCATTTATCAGACCTTGTGGCACTTTTCATTATTGCTCTGAACTCTAGAAAATTCATCAGCCAATTTTGATTTGATAATTGATGATCAGGCATGATAGATGTGTACAGCTGGATATTGCCCTCATAACACATCACTTGTCATTTACCTTAAAATCAGATCTACAGACCTGACCTGTCTTCGGTGGCTGACAAAGTGGACCTCAGCAAACCAACAGGTTTTAATTCAGACAGTTCAAGTTCTGATTCCTCCAGTTCAAGTTCCAGCAGTGATAGCAGCTCAGACAGTTCAGACTCTGAGGGAGACAGTGAAAGTGATGGACAGAGGAAAAGTAAAAGGTATTGTTTCTTGTTAATGTGATTACAGTTGGCTGCCAGTAATGAGTTGTGTATGCATGTCCAGGCTAAGGCTAACATGACACATTTGTGCCTTAAATAATAACTTAAACATACAGATTGAAAGCTATATATTTTCTTGCAAATTGAACTCAAGAAAATTAGGATGTGACAAAAACTGTGGCATAAATTTACATTTTACTGTAAAATTTGAGTTTGAAATGCCAGATCAATAAGTGTAAGCAAATATTAGATCAAGTCTGGTTGTTGCACACTGTGACACTACTGTTATGTTTTTTTATCTATGTGCATGCTTGTGTGTGTGTGTGTGTTTGACTGTGTGAGTATGTGATTAAACATCCATTTAAGAACATGTTGAGAAGTTGAAGAAATATATATGCTTGATCAGCTTTATTTCAAAACATTTACAAACCATCACAATTTTGTGTGATTGTGAACATTGTTTCATTGGCCCGTCTGGCCAGTTTTGTTATTTTTACTGTACTGTATCTGTTGTTGCAAGTAACCATGCTGTACTAGTATATGCTCCAAAGTACAATATTTAAGCATTAACTGTGATAATGTGTGTCTGTGATATACATTTAAGAAGTGTAAGTCTGACTCATTTTGCAATGTGCATGTGATATTTCAGTTTACAAGCGTCCACAGCACATTTGTTTTAAATGTAATTACTCACTCAAGAATTAGCGCCAACACAAGGGGATTCCTATGAGATTGTAAAATTGTTTTTACTATTGGTTTTCTGTTAAAGCCATTAATTAAATGAACAATTCTAGGAAGAGCAATCATTATTGATTTTTTCATTATCTTTCAGCGTAGAAAGTGATGGTAAATAGGATTAAACTAGAAGCTTGCCTTTTCTTTCTTTGATTTATTTTATTTTTTCTCATTAAGAGCTGATGGATTTTCACCTCATTTAGGCAGAACCTATTTCTTCTCCACTTTCATCTTTTGAAGCAACACGAATGTTGTTTTAGAATGTGACTAGTTTGGTTGATATTGATAGCCTTCATTCCTGGTCAGTACTTTATCTAATGGACTTGAGCAGTCTTGCACTGTAATAACAGTATCAAATACAGGATTGGAACTTTGCCCAGTTAATATTACCTGGCTTTAAGACCAAAGTTTTATAAGAAATAGATATTTCAGGGGCGGATCCAGAGCTATTTTCAGACAGTCTTCCAAGTTATCTTTTTGATCCATTCTCTATTTTTTACCATCTTCCGACATTAAAAATTAGATACTCATCAATGTTAATTTGAAAATCAGACTGTCTTCCGGAAGACCCCTGTTTTATCAATTCCTGGCATATCATGTATAAGATGTTAGTTAGTAAGCTAGGTTGCCATACCTAGATCAATATTTTTAACAGCATTAATCCATCTCAGAGGGGTTGCTCGCTAAATTGCTTTCAGCTTAAGCAGCTTAGATGTCTGGCATGCCTACTGAAGCTGCTTAACAATAATTAATAATTACCCCCAAGCAGCTTCAGTAGGCATGACAGACAGCTAAGCTGCTTAAGCTGAAAGCAATTAAGCGAGAAACCCCTTGGAGATAGATCAATCCACAGCTAGTATGATAGGTTCTGGGAATGTTTGGTCACCTGAGGTCAGCTACCATTAGATCAGCCTAAGTGACCTTCCACACTGAAAGAGATGATGAGAATTCATGAAAATGTGTTTCAATTTTAAGATTCCTCGAAACTAACATCTTATAAACAAAATTATATACTTATTAAGGACAGTAATTTAAAAGATCTTAGTTTAATTCTTCTTATTGGTACTGTAAAGTATTTAAGTGGTGTTTCTGAATATTAAGCATTTTGAGCCTCATCATTTTTGTTAGATTTATTTGTTCTTTGAAAGTTTACACACATTTGATTTTCAATGCATGTTTATAATAGACACTGTTGACAGAACATCACTGTTGACAGAACACCAGTGCTTGGAACACCTTACTGCAGGGACATAAAAGGTAGTGGATTTGCTGGATGCTTTGTTGTTTTCTATCTCGTTAGGAAAGTACCTTTCTAAAAGAACTCAGATATATGATATCATGTAAGTGTGATACTATACTGTGCCAATGACAGGAGATTAAAGTATTCACTGGGACAAATGTATTTTAGACTGCGTTACACATGAAAAACTACTAAATACGTAATGCAATTCTGCTTATCGTCTGTGAAGGTAATGGTCATTAAGCAAATGGTGCTTCAATCCAGTTGCAATATTATCCACTGCTTTGAATGCAGAGCCTTGCATTTTGACAGGGAAAATGGAAATTATTGCCTAGAGATGGTATTCTGATACTAGGACATACCCAGTCTATTCTGCCCTTTAACTGTTTCCATATTTTAGAGTTTATTGCATCACTTGATTAGATGAAAGCAGAAATCCTTGGTACTGGGTCTTTTGATATAAAACTGTTGGCCATGGTGGTATTTGTACAACCAGTCATTAAAGCAGCCAAAGCTATTTCCATGGTTTAAAGAAATATATGTAATAGAATGGCGCTCAAATTGTAGCACATAATTTCTCCTTATATGAAAGGGATGTGAATATGCAATGAAATATCTAGTGATAGTCTTTTATTATAAAATTTTTTTTGTTTTTGATTATATGGCCCTTCAGATATTTTCAAGGCCTAAGCGTGTCTGTATTTGTACATCCTTTCTTTTATCCATTTTGATCTAATTATTTGGATATGATTTGTACAATTGGTCATTAAAGCAGCCAAAGCTATTTTCATGGTTTAAAAAAAATCTGTGTGATAATATGGTGCTAAAATTATAGCACACAATTTATTACATCCTCATACATTTTAGTGCAACCCATGTCACATTGATTGCTTTGCTGCTTACTGTTGGCTTTTTGTGTTACTGCCAGTCCTTTTACTGTGATTTAAACCAGTGCCAATCCAGTTCAGAGTAGGTCTGCATTTTTAGATATTGTGAGGAATATATCTGAAAACAGTTTAACTTACTGTTCAGAAAAATATATCTGAAAACAGTTTAACTTACTGTTCAGAAAAATTGGCTGTTAAATACTATATGCTTCAGTTAATGAAGAAATTATTGAAAAAATAAACTTCTTTATCACTAGCCACAATCTCCTTATATGAAAGTGATGTGAATATGCAATGAAATGTCCAGTGATAGTCTTTTATTATAAAATGTTGCCGTTTTTGATTATATGGCCCTTCATTTATTTTCAAGGCCTATCTGTATTTATACATCCTTTCTATTATCCATTTTGATCTCATCATTTGGATATGTTTTGTACAATTTGTGAAGTATGTAGTGTGTTAAATGTTTTACTGACTTAACAAATTATTAGTTTTTTAACAACGTGCATGTTTTTGTCCTTCTGTTTGTCTTTGTTGGTCTCAAGTTTAAGTTCCTGTTTTGTTGAAGTTGTTGAGATATCTGTTGTTGTTTGTAGATAAAATGTTTGTCACAAGGAAGTACTTGAATACCAGTGTGACTGAAAGTATTGATTTGTGCAATACTTAATCTGTGCTGGCTTTGTTAGAGCGTCTCATTTAGTCTCTATCAAATGCATTGGTCTTGGTATCTGGTGCTAAGATCTAGTATGTATGTTCCTGTTTAGACTGATATTTGCATTAATTTGTCAAAATATATTTGCCTTGGGGTGTTCATATTAATCAAGATGCATTGTTTTGCCAAAAATGATTTACATGAAAATAATGAGCACACTTGTGACTTTTAATAATTTTGAAGTTGATTTCTGTATAATGAACATTACTGCCTTTAAGCAGACATCCTTTTTTCTTTCTTGATCGAGTTATTATGATTAACTCTAAAGATTTGCTGAGTTTGCAGTAAATATGAATTAACATAAAGTGATCATTTCAATACAGTTGAAAATCACTGACCTAGGTTTTACAATCACCATATAATCCATGAAAGCATCAGTAACATGATTCTCTATACACTTCTTATAGGAGAAGAACCAGTAGATCCCTGACACCTAATGGCAGCAAATCCCGTCGCACTTCCAAGTCGAGATCAAAATCTAGTACCAGGTCTGACAGCAGTGATCAACACGAACGACGAAGCATCTCTACAACTCCTAAGAACTGTCGGTGACAGACATTTATGTAATGCTTAGATCTGTCATTGACTGGGACACGACTGCATCAACACTGAAAACAGCCAAGGCACGAGCCTGAATTAAGTTTATTCACTAGTCAGCGTGCCATGATTTTTTTTCCTGAGCAAGTCAAGAACAAGTTTTAGCCATTCTCACAGCTTAAGTTGATTGCTGTTGGTTGAACATGGTCATAAAGTTTTCTGTTTCTTTTTAATCTTTTCAGTCTTTTCAGGATGAGTTTAGAAAGGGATGAGATAATAAATTGTGGAAATGTTATAAAAACTGTTGATGTCAAGTAGCCAGGAAGAATTTTAGTGATGTCAAAGTTTCTGACTGGATACTGTGCTAGTAATGAAAAACCATCATTGAATTGCGATGTATAATGGCATATAATCTTTGTTGGATTGAAGTCATGTTCTTGTTTTATTAATTGATATAAGATTTTTTACCTTTTTTTGTAGAAAAATTGCTTGCTGAAAGACTACTGCATGGTTGCCCAATTTCATACTAGTAAATAAATATTGGAAAAGTAGTCTCCCATGGGCTGCACTTTTTTTGTAGTGTACAGATTTTTATTTTGATGACATTTTCTTAATATAGCTTGATTGATTTTTGTGTCACGTATCTTCAGCTTTATGAAAAATCAATTGAAAAATTGCCTACTATTGACCAGTTGGCCAATTGTACTGTTGCATTTGACATATCATCTACTATTCCAAATTTCAGTACATGAATATTTAAGTAGATGGTTGTTTTGCTGCATTTGATTGGTTTAATAGATTTGAAAATGGCTTCTGGTCCCTGTTGTATTCCTTCAATATTACATTGATCTGAAGGCAGTAACAGGTCTATTATTATTATTATTATTATTATTATTATTATTATTATTTTCCAAGATTATATTGAATGAAAGGATGTTGATGATCACTTATACCATTGCATTTACTCTAGGAAGATGTGCGACTTTGCAAATGTTATCATTTTATAAAGACTAGTCATCCATAGATTCTTATACACTAGATGTAGAATGTCCAGTGAAATGTTATATCAACAATATTTCTAATAATTTAAAGTGTATTAAGTGCATATACTTCAAGAGATGGGAATTTGCTTAGAGATTTTGTTAGAAACAGCTTTTTGATTAATTGTCATACTAATCGGACAGAAATTAGAAATATTGGCAATGAAACTGTCACTTGTTATTGATGAGATGACGTGGAGTTCGTTACACAAAAAACGAACCCAGATACTGCTTGCCAAATCTTATAATAATTAAAACCATTGAAAATAAAGCGATTTTAGACAATGTGCATTGATTCCTGTCATTCATTAAGCCTGTGTGAAAACTGATAGCCTATTAGAGATAAGTGATCTTGTATAATCTTGGCACGTCATACCATTGTTTGAATGTACTATTTTAAGTTTTAAAAGACGTCAAGGGACTGAGAGGGGAACAAATTAATACCCCCGTCACACTAGAGGCGGAATGAGCTAGAATGCCGTCGGAAAGACGATTCTTTGTGCGTTCCTGGATATTCCAAGAGCATTCTAAAAATTCCGAGTGCATTCCAAATATTTTACCCATTCTTGTGGCCGGCCCGAATGTTTTGCTCATGTTGAAAACTTTCAAAGTGCATTCCAAGTAGAAAATTATCGAATGGCATTTGACTAGTATTCTAACTGCATTATGACTGCATTCTAAATATTCTAACGGTATTCCGACAGCATTCGAAACATTCTAATCACATTCGAGGGAGAACCGAAATGGCAAGACACTTCATATCCTGCTAGAACGAGTCAGAATGCAACTCGATCCTATTTCAGCCAAGAATCGAACTACACTCGTGCGGCATTTGAAGGGTATTCTAAAAATTCTGACTGCATTCTGACAGCATTATTGATATTCCTAGTTTTCCAACTACATTCGAGCTGCATTTGAGAGCTAATACAGCCGAAATGTGCACGAATCATTCCAGGCGGATTCAAGCGCATTCTGAGTGTTCCAACGGCATTCTTGCAAGTATTTAGGTCAATTTGAAATTTCTTCCCGGATATAATACGAATTTTTACATTTAGTCATTCCGGCTGGTTCTGCTTGATTCCTGCTGATTCCGAATAAGTGTGACGGGGCCTTAAAGGAATGGAGGTGAGGTCTTGGAAAAAATGATGATCGCAAACGTTGAATATGATAAATGCCAAATAAAATGGGGTTTGTTTTCAGATTTGAGGAAATAAGCGCGCGTCCAATCTGGTTTATATCTCCTCTTTCACGCCCAATAACAAATGCAAGGGTGTTTGGGACTAAAAGATGACTAATGATGTAGAGTAACGTTCAATACAGTCAGCTGCTACAGTATAACGTCCTACAACACAGGATGAAGGGCGGTAACGCTCTACAATTACATGTAGGCCTACACGTGTCTGTGTTGAGTAGGTGATCAAATATTTTACCGCTCAAATAGATTGGAAATTATTTAAATTACCTGGACGATTTTGTTGCCAAAGCGTAGCCTGCTACATGTGTGCTCAAGTCATTGCAATATTACGTCGCAGTCCGTTTTGGCCGTAATACCCCCCACCCCCACCCCCCAACCAGTGCATGCGTTCATTCTATACGCATGGCAAGTTAGTGCCCTCGCATGTGCGAACTTGTGTGCGCCTGAGTACGAACCGAGTACTTGCGCGCGTATAAGACCGAGTGTGTGTGTGTGTGCACACTTGAACCTATGCCCATGCCCGTTAAAAAAAAAAAAAAAAACCCGCTTAGTATGAATAACTTCGGTGGCTTCAGCGTCAATGATTTATTTTTCCTGCCCTGTCTTCCATCCCACACCAATACAAAAATAAATTGAAATAATTCACATGGCGGTTGGTCTAATCTGCTGCATACATCTTCCTTACAGCCCCGATAAAACATTTACAAGAAAGAAAATGGCAATAAGATCGTAAAAAATGTGTTCTTCGCATATTTTCTTATCCTCCCCTTACATACCATTGTGTTTTGTTACATTAAGCTGCGAAGAAAATTGCCAGTTGGCCTGTCATCTGCAATCCGTTCAAAAAATACTGTCAAATTCCAATTTTGCTTTTGACTCATTCATTTTTTATTTGTTACAACGCCCTGTGCTACTTCCTCCTCTCCAGTGTACGGTATATCAGCTCGGTGAACTTTTCAGATCATGTTTGCAGTCTTATCAAGAAAAGGGACATCTTACCCAATCCCCAAGTTTTATCAATTACTGGAGTGTTACTAAACATAAGAAAAGAACAGCAAACAAATCTTGAAAAAGGTCCAAATTGCATGTGTCAAACTCAAACATTATATAAACAAAGATAGAGCACAGATATAAAACACGGACATATAACAATGCAAAAAGTGTGGGGAAAATAACAATATATTTTGATTTAGTTGCATCGTGAGGAATAAATGACGAAAATAAAAGAATTTCAGGAGAACACGGGCGCTCTATGAAATACGAATCTGTTAAATATGATTAATTTAATACCTGAACGTAAAGAACATTATTTGATTAAAATGTCAGTTTTATTTTAACGCCAAAGACACTACCTGCTCTCCCTTTTACCAAAAGTACTTTTGTCTCTCTACTCTCTTTCCAGACATCCAATAAACCGAAAGATTTTGCAGATAAGAACATCTAGTCCGGTGCCCGCCTACTCTAGCGTGAGGCTGATATGCCCAATTATAATACAACCTCATTTCATAATACACATTTTGCGTCAATTCATATAAGTCACAGGGTTGGGCCTCGGTGCCAGCTAAATCGCGTGAACGTGTCTTTAGTGCGTTTCGCCGCATCATTTGACTACGAGCACCACTTCACCAAATCGGGATTTGTTTTTGTTTTGAATCTTAGTGTCTTGGATATTATCATTTATTGTCGCACATTTGTCGGGTGCCCATTAACTCCAGTTGATGAAACTACGCGATCAACACAATTAGTCAGATTCCAATATTTTGCTAAATCCATTGAAATCGCTACACAATTAGGTAAGGCTAAATTAACAGCAATGTTGACATACCTAAATCGCCGGGCCATTTAATATTCAGTTAGCTATTGTAATTGGAGCTCTTCTGTTATTACCTCCCGGGCCTGCTCACTCGAAGAACTCCAGGCAAAAACAAGCCCGGATCCTGTGGAGATTTGAGAGATTCTCCTGCAAAAAATCAGTTTAGACGGAAGATATATTTCACCATGGTAAGACCTACGCACCTGGCACTGGGAGCCTTGTTTCTATGTGGTATGTAGGTCTTTATTTATTTCACAGAATATAAGAAAAATATATCGGTTACATATAGGCTTGTTTCAATTGTACGTTACATATATTCCACTGTATCTGATATTAAATTTCATAAAATACCGAGTCAAAGCTTTGAACTGAGGACATAACAAGGATATCCCTATCTGTTCCATCTTAGTATTTTTTCAATGTGCAAAGAAATATACGAAGGCATAGATGTTAATGCATATAGATATACATGTGTTCTTGAAACTTGATGAGGGAAGTACAGCATGCAAGTACGCGAGCGTCAGAAAATGCCTGTTAATTTAGTTGTTTCAGGTTATCCGTTGCTATCAATACTACCGAGTGCTTCCCCCCTCCCCACCCGCCTCAACGCCCTTTAGGGATTTATGACGAATTATTTTCATGATTTGAAGATAAAAGACTTTTAATGAAGATGTACGCAAGGATTCACAATCGACTTGATATCCCTAACTATCATTCTGTAAATTAATCAGTCGGTCTGCATAACTGCATTGCTATAATTCATCCTGCCCTACTCTGCCGATTAGGGACATTTACCTTTGGACAAAATCCATTATTGTGGGGAAATGAGATACGTTATCATTTTGAGACCCTCCAAAATTAACCTCAACACTTTGGAATCGATATTTCATGAATCGACGTTGCTTAGGTAGATTAAAAATGTTCCTGAAATAAAATAAGCCGTCTAGCAAAGGGAAACGTAATATCATGGTTCGTTTTTACAAGTACAACGCCGCGGGTGGGTATCTTTGGCTGTTATTTGGGGTGTTACCAATACATTATTCTCATATGATTCACCATATACGTTTTTTTTTTTTTTTTTTGGGGGGGGGGG